ATCTAGTGTAAACTTTACCCTCTTGTGAACACATTTGTCCGGAAGTAATGGTTTATTATTTTTATTTTTTTATATAAGTAGTTTTTCTAACTTACACCTATTGTTTCACTTCTGAAGAGATTGATTTATCCACTCGGATTGTATGGACTACCATTATGATGGCTGAATGTTCTTTTTTGAGTGACAAAATACAGTATGGGCTCCTGTTCACTTTTTTCAAATATTTTTTGTTTGTGTTCAACAGAAGAAGGAATGCAGTATACATTTAAAATAGCATGAGGGTAAGTAAATGATGAGAGAACTTTGTTTTTTGGGTGAAGTACTCATTTAAAGTCGATATGAAACAGCATTTGCAAACCATTTTACTTCTGTATTCTAATGTATTTCAGTCTAAAACAGGATACTTAAAGAGGTAGTTCATCCCAAAATGAAAATTGTCATTAATTACTCACCCTCATGTCGTTCCAAACCAATAAGACCTACATTCATCTTCGGAACACAAATTAAGATACTTTTTAAAAAAATACTTTTTGCATGCAAAGAAAACAAAAATAACGACTTTGTTCAACAATTTCCTCTCTTTCCTGTCAGTCTTAGATGTGCGTTCATGACTGCACCACGACGCATGCTCTCAGACTCTCGTGAACGCACGTCAAACACTGATATGGAAGAGAAGAAATCGTTGAATTAAGTCGTTATTTTTGTTTTCTTTGCGCACAAAAGCTATTCATAAAATGAATGAAACATTGATGTCACATGGACTATTTTAACAATGTCCTTACTACCTTTCTGGGCCTTGAACATGTCAGCTCCATTGCTGTCTATGAAGGGTCAGAAAGCTTGGATTTCTTCAAAAATATTTTAATTTGTGTTTCAAAGATGAACAAGGTTCTTACAGGTTTGGAATGAAATAAGGGTGAGTAATTAATGACAGAATTTTCATTTTTGGGTGAACTATCCCTTTAATGAGAAACAAGGATGGGATTTGATCAGGAATTGAAGTATCCAAAAATATAAACATTTCCTCCCTACTGTACTGGCTATGCACATTCTCCTGGTGCGTAGCAGCTGATGTAACCTCATGACGGACGCTTTGGCGACGGGACTGCGTGTGGCGGAGAGAGTCGGTGGCGTGCTGGGTCCAGACACGGATGTGTGACTGGAGTGTTTGCCCCGTGGCTGTGTGTGCGTGTGACAGAAAAGCTCTCTGTGGCATCCATTACCATGCCACTGAGGCACGGCGAAAGCTTCTCTCTCTCTAGTTCTACATTCCCAGTCCAACCTTTAGGGGATTACCATTCATTCAACCTTAACTTCAATATACACACAACACAAGGCATGTTAGCCTCCCCATTTACACACTAGCCATCTAGGCGCATATAAACGAGCTCATGCTTCTGTTTATTTTGCTCTCTCTCTCTCAGTGAGTGATAATGAGACTGCTATCAGATCGCAGTATCTCTAAACCCTGCTGTGATTGGTAGTGGCATTGAGTGCTGCGAGTTCATGTTCGTCCCATCGCGCGCCACACCAGTCGTTGAGTATTGTTCACTCAACCGAATGCCTCTTCTCAGGGGTGCATAAATCAAAACACTGAAATGAGCTCTCGGTTTCTCTACAGAATGTATTACAAGTCCATTAATTCTGTCTTCCAGGGGTGTTTTGAAGTCTTCATTGGCCAGGCCTCTCATTGGCAATACATTTGAAAGACATGGAATCGCACAAATGGCCTAATGACGGTGCATCAACAGTGCATTTTTGGGCTCAGGCTGTACTATGATCAAATGTTTAGAATTCCTGCAAGGATATTTCCAAATCAGATGCCGTTTACATGCTAAGCTCCTTTGAACAGGATTCCTAGTCTTAGGTTTGGAATATGGGTCAGCAGACTAGCAATGTACTTTATTCTTTCTGCGTCATCATCGCTGCACATCAAACCAATCAACTTTCTCCATCTGTTTATCTTGATTTCAAGCAAAATGTTTGTGCATTTGAAAATCAGAACAAGAAATACTCAAGTGGAAAGCTGTGTAATTCAGCGGTTCTCGTTTTATCATGTCGCCAGGCCAGCCATATGTTGGGCAGGCATTGTTGGATGGAACTTATAAACTTTTAAATCAGAGGAGGGTTATGGGTAGAAATCTGCAGATTGTGTCCTCTCGAGGATTGAGTGGCTTTAAAATGCTAAACGCACAACTCATCCACAGCTTCAACATCTAGTTTGACTCAACAAGTGGAGAAAAACAATTCTAGGACAATACAGAGATTAATCTCAAAGTTACAGCTGCTCCATTTTACTGTGTACAAAATAAAAAAAAGTTTTCATAATCAAACAAGCAAGCTGCATAATCAGAGTTTCGTACTTTCTAAAGTAAATATGAGTGTTTGCATACTAAAGGCACAGTCATGATGATAGGGTGTTGTGAGTGTTGACTCAAACAATTGAATCTTATGAGTTGGTTTATTTTTAGTGAATCAGAAACATACAGTATAGTGAGACTAGAGTAGATTCCCGAAAGAATGACTCCTGTGAGTCAGTTATTTTTAGTGAAGCCAAACCATGCAGCACTTCTTTTTAGTGAATGAGGAACATAGTATGACCACTGTGGACTGATTGCAGAAAGAATGATTTTTATGAGCAAATTATTTTAAACAAATCCAAAATATACAGCACAACAGGTGCAGTATGACCAGTTCTAAAATGAATTAATCTTATGGGTCATTTTCTTAAAGAATCAAACACTTACTGTGTTATGTTGTTTGTAGAGCTTGCGATATCAGTGTAATTACTGACTGTTCAAATTACTAGGTAGGCATTTTGAGTCAGTAGTATTTTATAAAAATAAATGGACAAATGAAATGTGTAGTTATGGCTGATTATTTGATTCCATTTTCAATATACTGCCTCTAAAAGTGCGAAATGTCATCAAAAAAATCAAAAGAATCATTTTAACTATATTTGTCAAAATGATGTCATCATTTGGCAATGGTATTGCATTTATTTTTCATTTACAAATATTTGATTTCTCAAATACTAAAAGATGTGTTAATAGAACTGTTAAGAAGAACCCAACATAAAAAACCTACCCTAGTGAAAAATAAGGGTGCCCTGGAGGCTGGTGCAGGACAGGAATAGGGCGGAGACCAGGAGAGCCTCCAGGGCGGATCTGGGAGTTCAGGGGGCCATGGCGGAGCAGGCAGTTCAGGTTGCCAATGGCGGAGCAGGGGACTCAGGAGGCCATGGCGGAGCCAGTTGTTCAGGAGGCCATGGCGGATCAGGGGACTCAGGAGGCCATGGCGGATCCAGAGACTCAGGAGGCCATGGCGGATCCGGGGACTCAGGAGGCCATGGCGGAGCCGGTTGTTCAGGAGGCCATGGCGGATCAGGGGACTCAGGAGGCCATGGCGGATCCAGAGACTCAGGAGGCCATGGCGGATCCGGGGACTCAGGAGGCCATGGCGGAGCCGGTTGTTCAGGAGGCCATGGCGGATCAGGGGACTCAGGAGGCCAGAGCGAGCTCTGAGGCTGGAGCCGACACGGGAGTGAGCTCTGGGGCTGGAGCCGACACTGGAGCGAGCTCTGGGTGGGAGTGAGCCATGACCGACGGGCTTGACTTAGGAATGGCCAGCAGGCTTGCCACAGAAACGGCCGGCGGGTTTGCCACAGGATCTTCGGAACTAGACTTTGGAACGGCCGACGGGCTGGCGAAAGCCGCAGCCGGCAGGCTTGACTGAGGAATGGTCGGCGGAGGAGTCCCGGATCGGGATCGGAGGCTCTCCAGACACCAGATGACTGCCTGCTTCCAGTCGAGGTTGGTGGTGTCTGGGAGCTCCGCGGGGCGATGAAAAGTAATCCCGATCTGGAACAGCGTCACGAGGGTTTCCCCCTCGAGGGAGCTGGCGAGGGCGAGCGGCACGAACGCCCTCGCGTAGCTGACAGGGTTGGGGCTTGCCTGAGCTACGGTGATGAACATCGCTCGTTCCTCCATAGTCTCGGGGGAAAAACAAACGGAAAACAAAAACACTTTGAAAAACGGGGGAAAAAAAACGGGGGAGAAAGGCGCCGCTTACTTCAGTTGGGGTCGGCTGTTCTGTCACGGTCACTCGGGGAGGAAGGAACGAGGAGACGCAGGAGAAGACTTCAACAAGGATTTAATTCAAGTGAACAAAGGATAACACACACAGGAACTCTGGGATGACATTTAACAGCCGACACTTAAGACATCAAAACACAGGGCTTAAGTAACAAGGGAGGAAACGAGGGAATTAATCAACATAACGAGGAAACAAGGGAAACACAGGTGGAATCAAATAAACATAATGAGATCAGGAACAGGAAGACCAAAAAAGGGCAAACAGGAACATACACGTGGCATAAATATACTCACATTTATTTGAAATACATTTATTTTATGCTAAGTATACTACAAATACATTTACATAATTATGTACTTAATCAAATACCCTGCTATTGTACTTTTTGTATTCTAAACAGGTACTGTATACTTAAAGTCTGGTCATTTGGACAACTAATTTTGTACTTATTGTACTTCAAATGTGTGAAAGTAGTGCTGAAGTCCAACTAAAGATATTCTGAAGTATATTTGATTGTGCTAAAGTGGAACTGTTGCAAGTATACTTCAGGAACAATTTAAACATCTTGCATTTAAAGACCGATATTATTCAAAGATCATACAATCCTCATCAAAAGTGACATTAAAACACATTTTAGGCGTAATATTAAGAAATGTGCATTGTGCACAAGTAGTACTCCAAATAAAATGTAATTATAATTTTTATATCAGTAAATCTCAAGTGATATGTCAGGAAATGTGTTCATAGATTTCAACTATACTTAGTATGAAATAAGTATATTTTAAATATATTACTTTTTTACTAGGGTAACAATATATGCATCAGAACTAGTATCTTTGTCAAATACTACTAACCAGATAAAATGCTTGTTCTCAGTGTATTTTTGTTCTTTTTTGTTGTTCCAGAAAAAGAGACATTTCTAGAGCCCTTCGTGCTCAGAGACTTGTTGCCGTCCTCCATCGGAAGCTACTACCGTTACATCGGCTCTTTGACCACGCCACCCTGCAGTAAAGTGGTGGAGTGGATAGTCTTCAGTCGGCCCGTGTTCCTCTCCTACAAACAGGTAAGTCTATACTACACATATGAAGGTGTGTTGAGGTTATTCATGCTATTTAGGTCTTTAAAAAAATTATGCCAAAAAAGATTTTATTATGCATCTTTACTCAAAGCAAAGCTCAAAGTCACAGTTCCCATAATACAGAGCGGCTGACCCAGTTGAGAAGTCTGAGGAGTTAAAACTGTTTGAGATTTATTAGACAGAGCTCCTGAAAAACACCTGGGCTTTGGGACAACAGCTAAACAGCATGAGAAATAAAAGAAAATAGCAATGTGTGTAATACCCATTATTGTTCTAATGGACCCTACTTTCGCCTCACTGACTCATGCCTCTCCATTAGTATGCATCACCCAGCTTCGCTTGCGCACATGCATCCTGTCCTCTCTCTCGGCAATGCTCCTGAGCTCTGATTGATAAGGAAAACTCTCCAGCTGAGCTTTTACACTGTAATATAACAAAACCAAACACCAAAAATGGGGCATCTTCATGCTAACAGGCTGCATGAAGAGCTATGTGAAGGCCAGGTGCACTTCCACCAAAGTATAGAGGAAAGAGGACTGGTTTTAGAGCAGAAATCCTCAGGGTGGATACTGTGAGGTGGGCTCTCACAACCAGCACTGTTAGACTCAGATACCAAACAAAGAAGGACGTGATAAGTAAGGGCTGAAATTTATAGGGAACACAGTGTCTGTTTATGAAGGTTGTTCTCCATCAGAAACCGATCCATCTCTGGCCGCTCTGTGACTTCTGATCTCACCGCGTGTTAAAAGAGAAACGGCAAACAGAGGCTTTGCTCTCACGTATAAAAGATCAAAGGATATCTGTATAAACCTCATCCGGCCATGTAAGATTCCATGTTATTTCAAAGTCTTTTCAAGGTTTGTAACCATATGGTGTAAGAATTCAAAAATTATATTTTAACCAGAAATAGACAGACAACGCATATTTAATTTGACACACTTTGTGCATTAAAGTTTTCAATGCAAAATTTGATTTGATGAAAGTCACGAGACCTATTACTATCTCTCTACGCCGCTATTTTCCTTCGTTTGTGGTCGTTACATGCTTATTTTAATTTTATTTTTATCCATCAACGTGATTGGATAGAGAGATAGTAATAGGTCTCGTGACTTTCATCAAATCAAATTGTGCATTAAAAACTTTAACCGCCAACTGTTTAACATGGCTGCTGGAAGAGCATTCTTCAAGCACCAATTCAGTTGCATCTTCCTCTAACTTAATATGTTAAGGTAAATTTTGGATTTCTGCTTACTAAATGATTTGTATATATGCTTGCCTATCTACACGGCCTGAAATTTAGTGTGAGGTTACGGGTATTGCATACAGTGTTAACTGCCGCAAGTGCCACGTTCGGTAAATTCCCACTCACTTATGAGACGCGCGACCTGCGCTGCCTCGTCTCTCTCTCGCGTGCGTTCTGCAGCAGTCACTTGGATAAGTCGTTGTTGCTTGTTGAACTTGTTGACTTTTGATGAGTTTGAGCGCATGATGCGCGCTGTGAAAAAGTGTGTTGGAAATAGGGTTGCCAACCGTTCCGTATTAGCCGGGACGTCCCGTATTTTGGGCCAAATTGGTTTGTCCCGTACGTGACTTCCCTTGTTCCGTTTTTTTGACTGCTACACTGATCTAACCACTGACTGATACAACAGCAGCAGTGCTGATCACTTGAGAATGATCACCGATACCTGTCATCATCCAATCACAGCTCCCCTCATGCAGTATACGTTAAGTAAATCAAAAATCGTGAACATAACTGTTCGAGGAATGCTGCACAATCCTCTGGCGGCTCGTCGCTCCCACCTCACTCACAGCAAGCGGCGCTCGCGCTAACGCCAATTCCATCAGTGTTTTCACTTCAGTAAATCAGTTTTGGTGAATACAAACTACGTGATTATTTTTCATGAGTCCAACATCCCGCCGCGCAAGAGACATGATCAGTAAGTTGTCTTTCACTATTGTAATGTTGTTAAATAGAGAAAATCATTTTATATTTAAGTAACTAATAGCATAATTCTTAACCTTGGATCTTATTCTTGAAACACAAAATGACCAATAAAAAGGTGTCAAGCACCAAAAGCAGCCCATATTAAATCTATAAGTCTATAATATTAATTAATTGAAAAATACGCATTTTCATGCATAGGCTACTATAGCCGCATTTCCACTGTCGGGCCAGTGCGAGCCAGTGCTTTAAACGGGTCGGGCGGGGCTAATAGCCTCGGACCTGTGGCACCGAGGCCAAAATCACGCTGCGTTTCCACCGTCAGGCCAGAAGCTCCGCTGCTCTTCACTAAAACCCGCCCTTTACACGCCTTTCAGGAACAACATCACACTACCCCAGCATTTCACCAACAAAGAGAAGTTATCAGAAAACTAATCAGAAATAAATCAATGGAACTAGCGCGATCACAAAACGAACATGATAAGAGAGGCCGTTTGTTTGCATTTTTTGTTGTTTACTTAAAGATTTAAATCCAAAAGCATCGATGTTTTAATAAGTGATGCATTGATCATAATGAATTAATTTGTCAGGATTGAAAATGTCACATTGAAATAAAGTGTAATTTACCATTATTTCACAAACGAAAGAGGACACATACTTATTCAGTCGCGTCTGTTTCTGTTTATTTGTAGTCACAGTATACGTCACAGTTATTTGCTTGGTCTCTTTTTAAAGAAGACACATAGAAGATTATTGCTGATGTGAAAGCATTTCAAAAAAAGAAAGTATAAAAAAGTTATAAAAGTTTAAGTTTACAGTAAAGATAACGTAGCATACTAATAGTTTTTTTTATATAAAATAAATACTTTATAAAATGTTGCACTCTAAAATTGCTATAAAATCAAAGCCATATGTCTAACCAATTTATGTTCCAAATTTGAAGTTGATATCACAAAAACTGTGGCTCCTGTGAGATTTTGTTTGGGCACTATACCAGAAATAACCACTGGGTTACACCCAAACTTGTGTTGAATTCTTTTGATGCAGTTTTCTGTCACAAATCAATCATTTTCTGTCACAATATCACTTCTATTACAAAACAGTTACCAAATATGGAACCTTGACTGTCAGACCTTTCCAACGATATCTGTTTTGTCAAGATTGCAAAAAGATTAGATTTTCGAAAACACAAGCCACAAAATCACAGAGTCTATATATATGTTTTTATATCTTGATTCATAAGTGACAGTGGAAACGTGACTGGCCCTGGCACGCACTAGCATGCCCGCTTTTGGCCCAACAGTGGAAACGCGGCTTACTGTGTGTGTGTGTGTGTGTGTGTGTGTGTGTGTGTGTGTACGCAAAGAAAGAAGGCGTAAATATATTCTCGCTGTAGTTGTTGCCGCAGCCGCCATGTCGTGAAGACGATGTGTGTTTCGTTGTAAAAGCGAAACTACTTTGTTTGGCCTTCCAAAAGATTTATAATATTGTATGCATGCGTACGTACATATATATATATATATATATATATATATACATACAGACATGTAATGTTGTATGCATGCTGTCATGAGAGTTTGTTAGTAACAATGTATATTAATGACTAGTCTTTCAACAATTGGCTAGTCAGTTAGCAATGTTGACTATTTCGTTTTTTTTTGTTTTACTTTTTTGTAATGCCAAGTTCTGTCATGAAACTCTAGATGGCGCAGACTGATGGGTCCTTACCACTAACTGATGATATTCACAGAGTTCAATTGCTTGGCACAAGCTGATTGGTTCATGTTGCATATGCGTGTAAAGAGCTTACTGCTTTGTATTTAAATGCCTGGTTAGCATTCACTAGAAACCCTAGCGTTCCTCTGAAACCCTTCACCTTCCCCAGCTCCACCTGTATAGATCTGCTACGGGTTATTTTAAATTCTATTTGTGCAGCAGCAGTATGTCTTAAATACTCAGCACCATGTCTGCATTTGTATTGGCAGTAGCAAGTTCCTGTACTTGCTTTGCAGCAGCAGCAATTCGACAACTTTGTTATATCTTGCTCTGTTTTTAAGTGTGCCGCCATTAGTACCATGCCATTTTGAGTTAAAAATTAGTTACTTTAAAAATATGCCAGTGTTCTCTTCTCTTCTTGTGCTCCGTCTAGCCATCTATGAACACAAGTACACATCTTATACAAATGCACCACAAAGAAACCCACAGACAGAGGACATTTGAACCAGAAATTATTCCAGGATAATATGTTGTTTTGCACATGCTACACTTTTTCTTTATTTATATTTCTGTTGAGACAGATTGGCATACGGTAGATTCGACTCATTTAAAAGCCCATTTTAGGGGTTTGAATGCAAATCAGAAAATGATGATGCCAAAAATTTGATTTGCGCACATTGAATACAATGATATAATGTTGAAAAAGCAATTTGCATTCAAAGTCAAATCAGACTAATGGGCAAAAATCTTAAAGTTTTAACCATTTTTGACAAGGTATGATGGCATTTACATGACTTTACATATAGTCGACTTCTTATGTGTAATCACTGAAAAATATGCAATAATAGCCCAGATTTTGTCAGAAGTGTGTCACCATCAGTATCCAAATGTTCTGAGCCCGTCAGATCAAAACTGCAGGAAGTGATGCGTGTAACGGTCACAGCTCAGCGAGCTTTCTACAGGAAGACACAGTCCTTTTCGTAGAGCCATAAACGCTGCCCACAGAAGCTTTCTGCTCTCATTTGACACCTCTTAAAGTTCTTTTGTTCCTTTTCGTCTCTGGGAGATTTTGTTTAAAAGGAAACACTGCTGAGGCAGATATAAGTGAGTCTATGGAGGAAGACAGTTGTCCTTCACTCCCCATTTTTCTTGCTCCTTTGTTCTTCATCAAAGCAGGAAGAGACAGATTGGCATATGGTAGATTCGACTCATTTAAAAGCCCATTTTAGGGGTTTGAATGCAAATCAGAAAATGATGATGCCAAAAATTTTATTTGCGCACATTGAATACAATGATATAATGTTGAAAAAGCAATTTGCATTCAAAGTCAAATCAGACTAATGGGCAAAAATCTTAAAGTTTTAACCATTTTTGACAAGGTATGATGGCATTTACATGACTTTACATATAGTCGACTTCTTATGTGTAATCACTGAAAAATATGCAATAATAGCCCAGATTTTGTCAGAAGTGTGTCACCATCAGTATCCAAATGTTCTGAGCCCGTCAGATCAAAACTGCAGGAAGTGATGCGTGTAACGGTCACAGCTCAGCGAGCTTTCTACAGGAAGACACAGTCCTTTTCGTAGAGCCATAAACGCTGCCCACAGAAGCTTTCTGCTCTCATTTGACACCTCTTAAAGTTCTTTTGTTCCTTTTCATCTCTGGGTGATTTTGTTTAAAAAGGAAACACTGCTGAGGCAGATATAAGTGAGTCTATGGAGGAAGACAGTTGTCCTTCACTCCCCATTTTTCTTGCTCCTTTGTTCTTCATCAAAGCAGGAAGTAGGTCACGGAGACTGACAGAGGGAGCTCTGGGGCGCTTTAAGAGCCGATCGATGCTCAGCCAGTCTACTGCATTTGCAACATCTGGAGCATAGGTGGACATCACACACACATATCTTGCAGTTTGCCCCAAGAATGCCCTGTTGCTGTGGTTAGCCATAAGGGATTCAACCATCAGACTCCAACATGTCTTTTCAGCAGTGACGCACGCACACACACAGATGTGTGACCCAGAACAGCCCTATTGCTGTGATTTCCCACCAGGGATTACTTAACCTTCTTACCCATGATGCACAGTCATTGCATAAACACACACACACACACAAATCTGTCCCGGATTACTACTGCGCTAAGAACTGTACACAATAAGATGCGTGCTTTTGTAGCCGGTGCCCACTCCCAATAAGCTGCGGTTTTGGCATACGAGGGATTAATAGATGAGGATTGTGATTAGGAAATTATTCGAGAGCGCCATATTGATGCAGCGGATCTCGGCGTGCAACCCAAAATCACAGGAAACGATGTCACAAATCAGATTCTGTGGTGTATTGGTGCTGGAATGTAGGATTTGACAATGCTCTTGAGGATTTCCGTTAGGGGTGGGCGATATGACCAAAATATTCTATATATATATAGACACTATATAGATTTTTGATATGATATGATATGATATGATATGAAATTTAATAATTCTTGTCATCGATTTCAATATCACAAAATACTAAAACTAGCCTTACTAACAAAATTAAAAAAAAAAAATTAAAAATCAAATAAAAAAATTAAAGCTTAGTGAAGATAAGTAAACAGTAAGTGCTAAAATAAAAACAAAGAAAAAATATAATATAAATATAATGTCAAAAACAAACAAATAAAAAAATCTATGTAAAAATAATAAAATAGTAATATTTTTATGTGCTTAATATATTACATATATAATTACTGTTTGTCACATTTTATACAATTAATAACACATTATCAATAACTAAAAACAGAGCAGCTGTCTTTGAGAAATGTTGTAAAGACACAAATGCAAACGTCTCGTTAGTGGATTCAAGCGGTCTTAAACAGAACTCTTGAATATTTAAAAAAAATTATATGCCATGAAGTATGCCAAGTTTGGCAAATCCAGGGACAATGTGTTCTCTGGTGTGGCCATCTGATGCAAGATCTGAGCTGATGCAGTCCATTCTGAGTTATAAATGTACTAGAAATGCCACAATGTCAGTAATGCATAGTTTGCTACTAAGTGTAGCACTGATGGTGCTTTCATAGCACAATTCATTGTCAGCGAAGACTGCAGCAATGTTGTTATGAATTTGACAAGTAACATATGACAAACTTTGTGTTATTTTGATTATGGTACAGTATCATTCTTGACAGAAGGAGCAGTTAGTGGTGCTATGTCATAAGGGGTGAAAAAGGAATGTAAAAAGATTGAAGCGAATTTATATGTATATATAACAACCTTGATCCAAACCTTAGTACAAAAGCAGGAGAGGGATAGAGACAGAAGGTTAGTGAGGCATCGCAGAGGCGAAAGTAAGACAGACGGTCGGTCGTGTTTTCAGTCTTTGATCAGCCTGTGAGCTAAAATAACATTCCTCTGAGTCACTAGTTTGGAAGGAGGGGAAAAGAGACTCCGGGCATCTTGGGAGATGACTTACTGAAAAATAAGAGACAGATATAAAAACATACTGAACTCTCTCTCTCTCTCTCTCTCTTTCTCTCTCAGCTGGAAGCGTTCTACTCCATCTTCACCACAGAACAGCAGGATCATGTTAAATCCGTGGAATACCTGCGTAACAACTTCCGCCCACTCCAGAGTCTGGACAACCGAGAGGTCTTCAAATCCGCCGTCAAAGAAGCTTGGCTGCCTGACTTGACTGACAGCCTGGGGAACCCGTACGGTACCGAGGCTTCTAAAGGTGGGTGGGCTCTCCTGACAGCTGATTGGCTGGCAGCTTCTATCAAGCGAGATATTTGTACATCATGGCTGTGAATCACGTACCCTGTATTCATAAGCTCTAGACTCTTTTTGGATACAAATTTAGATTCAGATTTCCCTCATTAGTGCTTACTCATAATGCATCACATAATGCAAGAGCAACCGCGTGTGTGTCAGTGTCTGTGAGTGCGTGTGTGTAATGAGAGTGAGTAGGTGGCATATGGTGCCGTCCTCTGCTATTGTGTCATTAGACGCTGTCTTTACTTGCCTATTTTCTCGCTCATTTCTCTGCTCCATGTGGCAGCCGCGCTCGCAGGAAATGCACAGGACTGCAGCTTTTCAAGGACACGCTGTTTTTCTCACCTCACACCACAGATCTGCTCCACACACTTTACCTCTACTGGTGTCCAAAAGACAGCTGCTTTGGTTCTTATTGAGGTTATTTGGACACTAATGTTTGAGGCATTCAGATATACACACACTTTTGATTTTATATCGTGATGGGGACTTTCATTTGGCTTCTGTTTTTTTTGTGTAATTAATGGCAATATAGCCTTGGTGAGCATAAGAGACTTCTTTCAAGAACAGTTTTTCTTACCCCAAATGGTAGTGTGTATATTTTGTATATTACACAAACCCAACAATTACACATTATTTAGTTTTTTTCCCTCCTAAGGGCCAGATACAAAAATTCTGCGTGTGATTTACTGACAATGCACACATTACAGAGAACAGACGCAACCAGAGCATTTCCATAATGACCAGCGCAATCTACCAAGAGCAGTGCAAATTACCGCCTGCTTTAAGACATGCTTTTTTGGGCATTAAATAATGGAGCAAATACCAGTAATTTGACAAGCACAAACGTTAGTAAATCGCGTTGCGTGATTCATTTGAATGCTCTCCTCCCATAAATTTTACATCTGAAAGGGAAACTCCTACAAATGCATATTCAATAAGGTAAGGAGCAAAAATAACGGTGTCCATGCCTTTACAGCGCTAATTCTTCACTGCGCGTCTTTAGTAAATCCTGACAGTACTATTTTAATGCCAAAAGTCGGTTTACGCTGGCGCAAGCTCTTAGTAAATCTGGCCCTAAATGCTTTAATATATTACACATTTTTGTTCATATTGAATTGGTAAATCTATTGACCGCCATAGTTTCATTTCATCTGTCACCAAACTGTTTAATAGTTACGTATGGTATCGAATTTTTGACTGCTATTGGAAGCCTACATTTTGATATCCCACCCTGCGTCGAAGACATATGGTGACATTCACAAACACCAGGACTTTTTCCTGCTGTAAACTCCAGTTCATATTAATTATTTCTGTCACTGTTTACAGTGTAAACTTCCCACTTTCTTGCTGCCTAGCAATGTCATAAAAATGCTTTTTCACCTGGAGATCACAGCGGCGCTTGACGCTTGTGTTAAGAGGAGCACTGAAGCCCTGACGTGGGTCATGTGACAGGGATTTAACCCTAACAAACTAACAAGCATCCTTACTGTCATTTTTACATCCCTTTATGAAGGCCGTTTTTCTCATGGGAACATTTGATCCACACAAATTGGCAAACAGAAATACACACCCACTACCTTTCAGTACAGACAAAGGTTGTTTACCCCATATACACAAAAACACTCATCCTACACACTCTTTCCCTGTACTATGTGGAGCATAATATCTAGAGGGCTTTAACAGATATTGATTGGCATTGGAATTGTACTGCGGTAGCTCCTCTCATTTACAGTTTGCTCAAATGTTCATAAAATCTTGCCTGGTGATCCATGGTCCAAGTACAATGCCTCATTCCCCACAGCTCAAACACAGATCACAGTACACAAACGACAAAGCAGAAAGACGACACATTCCTCATCGCCTTGGACAGGGTAAAGACACGACGTCTTGAAGATGGAGACCAAATACAACAGGTTTTACCTCAGCTCTTCATTCCTCTTCATTTTTGGACACAATTATTTTTTCATCCTCCCTTTTTATAGCTGCTCTTTCATTGACAGCAAAAATAAGTTGTGGGTGTTTCTTTAACAGACGCTTTTATGTATTTTATTTTGACCCTTGGCGGCTTTTTACAATGGCATTTTTTTATTTAATTTTTTTTAAGTAATAGGCTATTTTCTGTGCTGTTTTAACCCCCCTCATCAGAACGCTCTGTTTGAATAGGCATGGTGGATGTAGACTCGGAAGTAAATGCCGACTGCTATGATTGGCTAACAGAAGAAGCTGAAGAAGCACAGAGAGCTGACCACCCACACTCTCTATTAAACCAGTGGTTCCCAACCCTGGTCCTGGAGGCACCCCAACACTGCACGTTTTGCATGTCTCTTTAACCAAACCTTTTACTTCTTAGTAATCACAAATTTATTCTATTTCAACCATGTATTTGTGCATTTTGACTGCCAGTTTTGTTTATAACTCTTCTTGCATTGCTTCAGGTGGAGTGGCTGACTGAGCAAAGCTTTTTTGGCCCCATCAATGCTTTTCTGTTTGTAGATGCAGCAGGATTACTTTAACTCAGTGGTTCCAAACCCTGGTCCTGGAGGCACCCCAACACTGCATGTTTTGCATGTCTCTTTAATCAAACACACCTGATTCAGGTCATCAGCTCATTAGTAGAGACTCCAAGACCTGAAACTGGTGTGTCAGAGAAAGGAAACATGCAAAATGTGCAGTGTTGGGGTGCCTCCAGGACCAAGGTTGGGAACCACTGGGTTAAACTCTTACGCAGATCCAAAAAACTCCAGGTGATTTGGATTACCGAAACTGCAGTGATCTGTTTAAATTCCAGCACATTCCGAATCAGAAATATAATTAATTTGGGTGTTTGGAAATATTCTAAAATACTGTAATATGAAGAGAGAAACGCTTCTCTTATCGCTCCCTGGTTATAGGTTTAATTTCAGCACCATGCAAAATTGATTATGGACGCCGTCGTCGAAGAATAAAAAGGGAACAGAAAGGATAGAATAAAGAAAAGAGGATGAAAGGGTGGAGTAATAGTGTGATAGAAGCTGAAAACAGAAGCATATCAATGGTGCCTGCAGGCTGGAGCTGAACTTTTTGTCAGCTTCGATTAATTCAAAAGACGCGCTGGATCATAGATGAACTCTCCCTCACAGTAGGCAAAACAGCCGAATCAGTTTTATCAGAATATAGTACAGACTTTGACGCAGCACACATTCCCACCTGCGAGTGTGTCCAGCTGGGAAATGCGTCAATTGAATGTTTTTTTTTCCTTTGTTAAACATTCAAAATTTCAAGCTAAAATGTGCGTAATCAGGCATGTTCTTGTGTGGCTAATGCACACACTTGCTTTGAGATAAAGTTATGTTTATTTTCACTCTTATGTTGTTCAAAACCTGTATCTTTTTGAAAGAAAAGCTATTTTTCCATCCAATGGTAGAATATTATTTTTCATGTGAACTGTTCCTTTAAACTGGTCTTTTTCAAAACAGCCACTCAAGGTTAACGGAGTGTTTGCACTTTCTCTCTCTCTAATTTGACTTCTGCTCTCACCTTCTCTCCTTTCCTGCTACATCCCTCCATTAATCTCACTCTCTATGGTCAACAAGCCGGAGGGCCAAAGATGGCCTTTTTATTAAAGGTTTCTCTGTGCATCTCATAAGAGACCTGCACAGTAACCTCTGTGACTGTGTTTCTGAGTGGGACGAGAGAGTAGGGATGTGCTGCACAGATACGAGGACGGAGAAGATGTTATGATCAGGCTTTTCTTGTGATGATTTCTTGGAATTCTGTTGAACATAATATAAAATTCATTATTTAAACACAATCGTGTAAAAGAGGTTGAGAATGTGAAAAATGCTGAGAATGACAAGGTATGATACATGATTTCATACATCGGTCAGATCAATGTTCTTGCCAGTTTTTCGTAGGTATCGTCCTTAGTCAAATTTTGAAGATTTATCTCCTTTTGACGATGATCTTATGGTTGCTTTTAGCCTATATAAACCCTTCTGTGTTCTATTATGTGGGATAAGTCCATATCCATGTTAAATGGACATGTTAAATGTTAAATTTCTTGCTAGTAAATTGCAAAGTATTATGATTTTTATATGTACACTGGGGTTTGTGTATAGTGTGAGTGACGTGATTTTTTTTTTTTTTTTTTTTTTTTTTTGCACAAAGTTGGCAACACTGGCCTGGCCCCTTGTTTCACAGTCGAAAAAGAATTGGAAGAAACACAACAACAACAACAAACTACTAGAGATGCAACTGTGAAGATTGCATTGCGAAGAAAACTGACCAACCAATAAGAGTTGCATTTTTGCAAATAGTTGTTTGAAAACAAGATTTATCGTGACAGTCGGGTGTCAGAAACAGAAGGTAGCACAGCACATATAATGACTGTACATTAAAGTATTTGTATTTCATGTTTTGCGTATGTATGAATGAATGAATGAATTCAGCACCACCTACTGTCAGAGGTTGATTTTGATTTTCAGCCCGTCTGCCATTTATCACATGCAAAATTGGACCAAATTTTTGTGCCAAACATTTTTATTGGTGTGGACAGTCTTTAAGGGTCCCATATATTACTGTTCCTGCATCCCAATCGATACTTATGATATACGCTAAAAGTACTGTACTTTGCTGGTGATGGGAAAGTGCATACTTTTGAGTAAGAAATAAAACACTCTGCAGGTTTTGGGACAAACTCACTGTTTGCATTTAGGTTTGCAATTCATTATTGCTTAGCTTTTAGGTTCGTACATTAAAAAGTGACGCAGCAGCATTCCTGACTTTTGAAAACATGAAAAGAGAACACCTTAAACTCATCTTTCATTGCGCAAGGAGTTGTGGGCAGTGTTAATAGTACTGCCTGCATACTTTTAGCATCCTATATTCAACGTACCATGATTTGAAACCCACTGCTTTTAATCTTGAATATCATCTAGGATGAATAGTATGCAAATTGGAATGTTCATGGGCTTTTGAACCCTAAATCCCCCATAAACTCTTACCGGAGGAGGCTGTTGAACTGTCTATGAGGTCTTATTTAAAGGACAAGCTTCCATCCTCAAAGGTCTCTGTCATGTTTGTGTGCTGTAAACACGAATGCACGCCATCTGTGTGAAAGTCAGGGCAGGCATCACGGTATTCTTTATGCAGTATGATTACGGCTGTAGTCACTATTACTTCTCTCATGATTAGAGATAATAGAGGCTTCGGTGTGAAGAGTGATGGTAGAATTAGTTTAATTAGCATTGTTTTGGATGTAATGGCTCCCCTGTGGCTGTGGGAGGGAGTGTTTTGTGTGTGTGTGTGGAGGTGTGTGTGTTTGTCTATGTTGCATGCATTTTAGGAAGACCAAAACTAAAGAAAATTTAGGGCTTCTTCTGTCAGATTTCTCTACGAATAGAAGCTCACCCCTACGCACGCTGTCAGCCGGCAGAAACTGTGGCACGCTCGGTGATTAAACACCTTCTGCTGGGGAGATTAACAGCAACTTGGATGCTGCTGGTGTTTACAGAGGGCATGACACAATTCAGGACACGTGAAAGCCGAGTAGATGTAGTCAATGGTCTAACAGAGCCATCTAGTGGCTGTGGGATCTAAGGGCACTAATGGAGCTCAAGGTTAGAGTGGTGGCAAAGAGGTAAACACACATTTTGTTTTTTTTCTGTCTTTCACGCAGCATGCAGCAGTGCCCCGATCAACATGAACGTCCAGCACATGAACAAGACGGCGCTTTTCGTTCGATGGTCCCGTCCGGAGATCACCTACGATCCACCCATCATCAGCTACCACATTTCCTACAGCTGGACCAGAAATGACGAGTCATATGAGGAGACGTACGTCAAAGGGAGTGATCAGAAACTGGTGAGGAATGTTTGTAATGGTCATCCATATAACAATATCGCACAATAATTCCTACGAATGATAAGGTATTTGTCTTATTTGTCTTATACTTAAAACTCAAATAGCATTCACAACACACTTAACTTCTGTAATGTGACATATTTCCAAGTTAAACTGGATATTTTTTTGGGAAACAATAGTGGTGAGGGGTTGTGTTCGCTTTTGTGTTTTTATTGGTCATCTATACCACAATATCTCCCAGAAAATGATCAAATATGCCTCTTATACTTTAAAGACAGCATGAAATAGAATATGAAACATTTTTAACTTCCATAATGTGACACATTTCCTGGTTAAACTGGTAACAGTTTAGATTAGGGAACACTATTCACTATTAACTGGTTGCTTATTAATATGCTGTCTTAGGTACTTATTCTACTCAGTACCTAAACATAACTACTGTACTACAACGACGACCTTACTTTCTATCAATAAGCAGCAAATTAGTTTATTGAGGGAAAAACGTTTAGTTAATAGTGAATACAGTATGTGTTCCCTAAAGTGTTTCTGTTAAACTGAATATTCAATGGGAAACAATATTGGTGAGGGGTTGTGTGTGCTTTTTGTGTTTTACTGATAATCTTTACCAAAATATCTCACAGTAAACCCAATAGATGATTAAATATGTGTCTTTAAAGACAGCATTAAATTGCATTTGCATCACACTGAACATTCATAAAGTGGGTTATGAAATTTATAAACTGAATATTCATTGGAAGACATTATCGTGTTTGTTGGTCATCTATACCACAAAATCTCCCCTAAGATATGATAAAATATCCCTGTTATACTTAAAAGACAGCATGAAATAGCATATGCAACATGTTTAACTTCCATAATATCACATATTTCCTAGTTAAACATTTTATCCTTTCACACACACACACACACACGCGTGTGTGTGTGTGTGTGTATGTGTATGTATATATATACTCTTTTATGCCAAAAATCATTAGGATATTAAGTAAAGATCATGTTCCATGAAGATATTTTGTAAATTTCCTACCGTAAATATATATATATATTAAAAAATAGCCTACATTTTGAATTTTTCTTGTTTTTAAGCAATAAGCATTTCACATTTCAGATTTGTGCAGCCTGTTCTTGGAAAACAAACTGGCATGTGAGGATGTTGTTATCATGTCTGTAAACCCCTAGCTCATGGATAATATCCTGTAATCTCTCCTCCGCTAGAGCCTCAGATCCATGTTTGCAGAAGCGCAGTGAGTGTGACTGTGAATAAAGACTGTATTTTAGGTCGTCAGCAGGGGGCCGCAGCGGTAGACACCGACCTTGGGGCCCACCATTTGAAAATACTAATGCACTAAAACTGTTTAAGAGGTGGAGATGTATTTTATACCCATTTCTCTTAACTTTCCATCGAGCACACTCTGTGGGGTGTGAAATTTATAACAGTCTGAGATTTCCAATTCTCTAGTCCATAGGGGGTTGTGAGGCGACAGAACAGTACAAAGAAATGAAGTCATTATTGTTCATTTTGTTCCCATACATTCCAGTGTGCAGTTTTTGAAAATGGCATGGCATCCCATCTCGGAATATCATCAGAGCCGCCCCATTCCCTCCTTTCTCTTTTTATTTCTTGTTCCTCCCTTTTTCCTTTCTTTTAAGTTCTTCATTTCCATTTTTATTTCCTCTCTCGTCCCAAGACGCTGCTATCTGGGTCAAATTAGCAACCGACTCGATTTTAGAGGGACTGCTTACCAGATCAATTACTCCTTTTCATTTATTATAACCCAACACCACAGAGTAATATTTGAGTTGGGGTCTTCTACAGAATGAAATAGAGTCAAACTCGCATAAATCAGAAAGGTGTTGGAGTGGAGAGGAACTGACGCCATTTACTTAGCGTAAGATTTACAAATCCCTCAAGAATCACGGCACTTTTCAGCAGACCCCGGAGAGGTGAAGTGAGTTATGATAATGGCTATTGCTCATACACTTAGAATTGTATTGAATCTTCATTTCTCAGAGACGAAATCAGGCTGCCTGAGTGAGGTTCAGACAGAGACCATTGAGACAAGCAAGCAGCAATGAAGGAAATGTTGTTAAAAAGTGCCCATATCTGACCATCAAAGTAGATTTGTTAATCAAGTGTGTTGCTAGAGGCCTAATTTAATATGCACTACCCTTTGTGTGTTCTTTTTTTATTAGTATCAGCTACCAGTAAAAGTATTGTACTCTGTAGTACGCTCCTTTGAACACATTTTAAAATATTGCATTTTTTTTTATTTAGCCCAGTAGGCACCCACAAACAAACACTCATAAGCAACTTACGCCCTAAAAACCACCCACTAGCACATCATGGAGGTGTTTAGCACAGCCATGCACTATTCACATTAATGTTGAAATCTAATTTGATAATGCATATTTGAAAAGCGTATTTGAAAAGCAACATTCTGCAGATTTATGCAGAAAAAAGTGATTTTATAGGGCCCAGCCTATGCTCTAACATATAGTCTTGATTCGCAGTCAAACTCACTACATTTCAGTGAAGGAGCTGCTTATTATCTCATCCTTTATTATTCATATTTATTTAAGATTAAGTACTGTATACACTTCTGTTGAAAATGTTGTGGTCTGGACGATTTTCTTGTTATGTCTCTTTTGCTCACCAAAGCTGCATGGATTTGTTAAAAAAAAAATACAATAAAAACAGTAAAATTCTGAAATGTTATTACAATTTCAAATAACTTTTTTTTTTCTATTTTAATATGTAACTTATATGCAATTTATGTAAGTAAAGCTGAATTTTCAGTGTCACATGATCCGTCAGAAATCATTCTAATATGCTGATTTGCTGCTCAAGAAACACTTATGATTATTATCGTTGTCAATTATCAGTTATCAAAACATTTGTGCTGCTTCATATTTCTGTGAAAACCAGTATTCTTTGATGAATATGAAACAGCATTTATTTGAAATAGAATTTGTTTGTAACATTGTACGTGTCTTTACTGTCACTTTTGATCAATTTAATTTGTCCTTGCTGAATGAGTATTAGTATTCATTTCTTTAAGAAAATATCATTATTCATCTGGTTATAAATAATAAGTGATGTTCGTCTTAGGAAACACCGCTAATAAAGAATCAAATTAAATACTGTGTCCCCTCATATTATTACACACTACATTTACAGTGATATAGTTCATTTTACATTGACTATATACTAATCTGAAGTGTAATGTATATTAATATTTTCTCTGAAAGATCCTGATCATGTTGAATAATTTATTGATAAAGGCGTATGTTATATAAACAGCCTTTAAAAATAAAGCAGCGCCTCTCTCGTTGAATCCCAATGCCTTTGTGTCCCAGCTGAGCAGCTCAGAGGTGCTTTAGGTGGTAATGAATGTTATGTGAGGGAGAGACTGATAGAGACTGTCTATTTTCAATGCTAATGACTTGAGAAGAAAGGTGTTACCGTCAAGTGAAGGAGAAGAGAACAAGCTGTTCACCTTCATCCTCCAGACCTCTGTCAGGAGAGGTCACACTTCAAAGTGTGTCTACCATTCTTCTTTTGTGTTTTGACTGGAAGCTTCAGATGATAACCCTTCCAGACTGACTTTTCAGAGGCGTATCTGTCCGTGACATATTGTACGTTCACTGTATATATAACATTGTGTGTGTGTTTCAGGAGGCCGTCATCGCACCGGTGTCGTCGGATGTGCTGTACCTGTTCCGCGTCCAGGCGGTGTGTTTGAATGACAAGCGCAGTGACTTCAGCCAGAGCATGCTCTTCAGAGGTACAGGGCTACACCTGCACACAGACAAGGCTTTAATGAATGCTACGTTAGGTGTGGCTTTTAAAAGTGCTGCCTCTCACTCATATTTGTCTTCTTTGTTATGGTAGCCAACACCACCAGGATATTTGAGGGCACAAGAATAGTCAAAACTGGGATGGTAAGTTTACATCTGTCCAGCAGGTGGCAGCACGGTCTCTTCACGTGGATATTAAATAAATAAAATATACCTGCATATTACATTTTTATTTCTTATATCACAAATGTATTTATTACAAAGATTAATTTTAATAATAATATAAAAAGTACATTGATTATTATTATTATAGTTATTGTTGTTGTTGTTGTTATTATAAATATTTTAAAATATTTATTTTATTTATTATTTATTGTAGAATTATAGATGCCTTATTTATTGCCTATTTTTATTTCTTATAAAATAAAATAAATGTATTTATTGCAAATAATTTTATAATAATTATCATTTGTTTTATATATATATATATATATATATATATATATATCATTTGTTTTATATATATATATATATATATATATATATATATTTACATTTATGTTTTAATATTACATAATGTTTTTATTTAATATTTATTTTAGATACATTAATTGCACATTAGAACTCAATGCAAATCCATAGCTATGCATGAAAAAGATGACTCAAAAATGGCCTGGAACGTGTTATTCTGTTGGTCCTCATCCGGCTTATGTCAGGTCTATTTTACTTACATGATGTGCACAGATTTTATCTTTTGGAATCAATGTAGATGTTAATAAAATGCTATTTGTTTCTGTCTCTAGCCAACTGTGTCCCCAGCATCCTCGGCAGACATGGCACCCATCAGCTCCGGCTCCTCCACTTGGACTTCCTCTGGTCTTCCGTTCTCCTTCGTTTCAATGGCCACCGGCATCGGCCCCTCTTCCAGCGGCAGCCAAGCGACGGTGGCGTCTGTGGTGACCAGTACCCTCCTGGCGGGGTTGGGTTTCAGTGGTGGGGTCATCTCCTCCTTCCCCAGCTCCGTCTGGCCCACCAGGCCTCCGCCCTCCAGCCGCCAGATCCCAGCCAAACCCATGGTGACCACCACAGAAGCGCCCTCCTCACCGGCCTCCGACGCAGACTCCACCGCAGCCGCAGAGAACGACAGCTCTGACGACGGAGGAGATAAGGGAGGGAAGGGTGAGGATGAGGATGCAGAAAAGAACGGAGAAGAAGAAGAGGAAGAGGATGAGGAGAAAAGTGCCGAGAGTAAAGACGCCAGAGTTCCAGACGATGTTGAAAAGCAGACAAACGGATCCGTGACAAAAGGTCCGCCCACAGCAGCACCGGATTCAACGGCGAAAGAGAAAGGAGAAAACCGGAGGCCAGAAAACTCCACAGCGCCATCTAGTGTCCCGGAGGATCATCTGGAGAAAAACACACACACATTAAAGGAAGAAGACACACAGGTGCTGCCAACCAGAGATCCAGTGGCTGATGATAATGTGACGGCAGTAATAGAGACCCCAGACAACACGGCTTATACCAGCAAACCCAGCAGAGAAGACCGCAAGCACGTGCCTCCTTTCTCTATACTTACAGGTTAGAAACAAGCCTTTTTTCTAGTCGACCTTCATATCTCTTATTTGATTCCAAGGCCCACCATTGTCCACAGCATAATTCGAGGCCCCATGACCTTTCCAGTTGTTCACGATTTAATGAATATACATTTTTTTAAAAGTTTTTACTCATATTTTCTCCATTAAAATATTTAAAATCAGAAAAACTGGAAAAAATGTATATAAATAAAATATATAAAAATGGTCATGGAACAGGGTTATTATAGCTAACTAAAAGTAAAACATAAAACAAAAATAAATAAATAAATATATACATACATACATGTACATACATTTCTGTTGGTGCCAAGGCCACATTTCTCAATTATTTTATTTTATTTTATTTTATTTTATTTTATTTTATTTCTGAGTGTACTAATATTGACCAAAAAAAATTATAAAATCAAATAAACAGACTTTTAAAAATTACAAAAACCCAACATAGTTAATACATTTAAATTTCCAGTGAAAATATAAAATATAGAAATAAAAACTTTGGAATTCAAAATTTCAAAGCTTATTTTCATGCTTTTGTCTTATTTTAAGTGATCTTGAGACCCTTTTGGAAGTTTGCTGATTCCCCCTAGTTGAGAACAACTGCTGAAAAGCAATGATATGGCACTAATATTTTGGTCTCAATTTATTAATTTGTTCTAAATAGATTAAAAATGCCAGTCAAGCATTGTTTTCATTTCTGAATTCAGATTCATTCATTCTATTCAGTAAAGTTAGGGTGATACAACTGTCCTGATATTATAATGATGAAAAAAAAATGAGAAAAACAATGACGGCCAAAGTCATGGTGTTACCAACATGCAGACCCATCTCAGATAAATATCAGATTGCTTGATCTCTTTATGTCAAGGCAATTTTAGTTCAGTTTTATAATGTCATGTTGTGCAACTCTCAAAAACTTAACAGCATAACAATTCATATGAGAAACCTAAGTCATATCCAGAGACCATAATATCATAGAGCCCTGCATGTGGACTCTTTTGTCTTTGCCCAGTCTTTCATACCACCCTAGCAACTGCATAGCAACCTTTCATATCACTCTAACATTGTGTTGGCAAGTTTTGCATGTGCAGCAGCACTCATCTTTTCAGCAGGAAACGTTAAACTCATTTTCTTCTCAATAAACATTCAGTTCTTGTGTTTTGTGGACCTGTTTGCATCCCGTGTGCAACAACGATGGTTTCATTTCCTTCTCTCACTCTCGTTTATTTGTCCTTTATTTACCATCTTCCTTCCTTTCTCTTTGTCTCTCCCTCTTCCTCTTCCTCTTCCTCATCTCCTCTCTTCTCATCCTTCCATCTTGCTTTCCGTCCCCTCTATTTGTTTCGGAGGCAGAGGGTTGGCCTAGTTTTCCAGTCCAGAGAGGATGAGAGCAGAAAACATTTTCAGCTGCAGGGAGTTAAAAAACAAAACAAGAAAGAAACAGAGAAACTCCATATTTAGCTCTATGGCACTGGAGTTATGTTCATCCTGTGTGTGTGTGTGTGTGTGTGTGTGTGTGTGTGTGTGAGTGCTGTTCCTTGCGTGACTGCGGGTCTGTATCTGACCGTGCTGAGGCTGTAGCAGCATGGATTAGTTAGTAGCATGCTGTCCTGGACCACCCGAGGGGGGCTGCAGGTTTCTAATCGCTCTGTTCTTATGTTCGGGATCTGAGTCTGTGGTTTCTGCTGACAATTTGGGACACTGGTATGTTTGGTTGTTTGTGTGTGCGTGTGTGTGTGTGTGTGTG